AACCACCAAAACCAGGAACCACCAAAACCAGGAACCACCAGTGCAGTCATCTCCACCAACCTGATCATTCATATACATAAAAGATTCCCTACTATGAACCAGGACTGGAGCTGGTGTGGAATTATTGATTCATAGAAGGATTTGGATTGGAAGGGACATTAAATATCATCTCCTTCTAACACTCCTGCTGTACGCAGAGACTCTTGTCACTAGACCAGGTTGCTCAGAGCCCCATCCAGTCTGGCCTTGAACTTCCAGGAATGGGGCCTCCACAACCTCTCTSTGCAACCTATTTTGGTGCCTTCACATCTGAGAACAGAAATGCTGCATGCTGTGCRTGGGAAGGACCAAAAAATGCAAAGCAATGCAGGAGGAACACAAGAGACCTGCTCAAAACAGAGAAGGACAAATGCAGCTCAGCCATTTTGCTCCTCTTTTTGGAGACRTGTGGGTGAGTGTGTGGGGGGGTGTATCTGTGAGTGAGAGGGTCTGTATTCACAGCTGGGATGGGGCAGCAACCTCGGGGGTTTGCATGCCCAGGAACCAGAAACTGGGGAGACTGGGATCCAGGGGCTGAGTGTCTGAGCCCAGCTGCTGGACGGATTCACACTGTAAATATGKTCCTATGTGTATTTCCCACTAATAGACCTCTGGTCAGCCAGAGGGGGTAACAAAGACCCCCGGTGCTGCTTGTGCTGTTGTTTGTGTGAGCTCCAGGTGTGTCTGCATGGGCAGCTCCATGTGTTTGCTGTCTGTGATTGTACATACACAGCTATACATGTATGTATGTATGCACATAAACATGTTTCATACCTGTGTTTGCGTTGTGTGTGGCTACTGGGAATACATGCTGGACTTACTGGTTAGACTGGGGAGGAGGGAGCTGCAGCAGCCTGACCTGCACTGGGCTACTGGGTTTGGCCCACCTAACAAAACCAATGATAAACACAAGCTAGGAGAGAGGTAAGGCTTGGTGTCACCTTGTAATTGGTATGAAGYTTGAAGAGCAGAGATATCTTAGGCTGCATCTAAGCTGGACTACCAACGAGAAGGCTGGAACACCCCTGAGACAGACCTGTGTAGTCAGKATAACATGCAAAGGCATCTGGCTGGTGCTGGGCCACCTTCCCAGTGTGAGCAAAGGTGCCTTACAACACACAGGCATGGCCACATTCCCCTTCCCTGGCAGGTGTACTGACTAGGTCACCCCACAGCYTGCTCCTGGTGCTCCAGTTCAGCASTATTTSAGTGGSTCATTTCAAAGCTATTCTTAAAATTCAGGCTAGYTGTGAATATGTATCTTCTTTGAAAGTGAAGAAGAAAGCCTAGAGACAACATGTACAGCGTATATTTGGAAAAGACGGGGATGAAAGTYTTTGAGCAAGGAACAAACCCCTTGAAGAGCTATCTCTCTACCAATTGAACAGACACAGTGTTTCCCTCTCTGCTTTAGTGTCACAAGCAGGTGAATTTGCTCAAAACAAGCCAGACCCCTTTTCTTTGTGCTTACCATATGGCCCTCCCTGGCWGCAATGTAGCACACACGCCCTCCGCTGAAGAATGTGCCGTTCGATGAACCAAACGTAGACAGGGCCACTGACAGGGAGATGAGCCATGCCCAGCTGCCCAGGACTTTGTCCCTGAGGTGGGAAAGAGTTCACAGCATRAGATGCAGTTCGTAGATGTACGAAATACTCACTGTAGAACCAGACAGGTTTATTCCCTCCATTATTCTTTTATTATACTGAATTTTTTTCCAAAGTCTTCCTAATTATTTAAAGTCTTCTTGCAATTCCCACAATATTTAGTAAGTTTGTCTTGTAAACTGGTAAGTTTGTCTTGTCAGACAGCTTTTCTTCCTTCTTGGTGTACATATATCTATGTCTGTCCACACTGCAGTGGTGTACAAAGCTGTCACAACAGGCAAAACCACCTTTTTCGTGTACTGATGCTGTGGCAAAAAACCTGAAGATACCACTATCACACCCAGAAAATCACAGAAAAACTGTTCCCATCACACAGGAAGAAATATTCTGCATTATAATCTTTTTCTCAGTATGCATAAATTTTAACCCTTTAATCCCACATGTACCTATTACTGCTATTCTGTGAATCAGACTTAAGCCAAAGCARTGGCTTGAATTCCAGACATTCGGTTCTACAACATGTTCAGACATTTCTAGTTTGCTTTTTCCTTAAGAGAAGTAGCAGAGTTACAAACAGATTTCAAGGTAAACATTTGGAAGGAATGGTAATCTCACCTAAAAGTGAAGATTGTCCTCTGGAGTGAAGCAGTATTAACTGAGTAAAAAATGCTTGTGTCTGGGGTAATTATCACATACACAAGCACTCTGTTTATCCAATTGGCAAAAATCCAAAACTCAGAAGTTTTTCAGACCACTTCATTTACAAGCAAACTGAAACTTGCCATTGCTGTTAAATCACTGTCATCAAAGGAAAACTGGGAAGAGTTTCCTGAGCTGCTTTTGTGGCTGCACTTCTCACCACTGAACGATGTTCCTCTTACATGGGGAATAAATGCATTTAAATTCGACAAATCCTCCTCTGGCTTCTTTACACTTCTCCCATTCTTTCTTAATGGCTTGAATAGCTGCATGTCTTGCTTGTGAGCCACAACCATCACCCCATCATCAGCTCTGGGTTTCTACCTGTCCCCCAGCCTTGACAGCTTTCCTGTCATTTTTCCAATATTTCTTCCTGAATTGCACTCTCTGGTGAAAAGGTTAATCAGGCAGGAAAAGGAACTGTGTTACAAAGGAGGAAGTTCACGAATAACTTGCTAATTAGGAATGATGGGAAAGGAAGTGCGGGAAAGTTCGTGACACTGCAGCTTAGTGAGGTTTTGTATAATGCTCAAACAAAGCACTAGACCTTTAAAAGCTCCTACTTATAATGGCATGAAAAGCTATTAGAGAACACATTCAGYRAGAGCTCAGTCAGATCTTCAAATGGGAGATCTTGTGAAATGCATGCAGAAGCAAAGCTGCTGCTGACWTTTTAGGAAGAGGATGAGCAGCACATAATCTGTGGATACACCATGTTATCATTTCTGCCAGACAACTCATTTAGGGSTCTCAGGGATTCTGTGTCTTTGGAAATATTTAGACTAAGGCTGGATGTTCTGGTGAAAGATCACTGGTGTCACACATGTCATGATGGCCCCTTCCTTCTCTTCCTAACTCGTCTTGCACTGAAACTGTTTAATGTCACCGAATACTTGAGATTGATGGGAGGTAGAAATTGTTTCTGTTTAGCTCTGGAAAAGCACGAGACTATTAAAGTTAGTTACCAAAGGCTACCCAACCTGCATATAACACCTCTCAAAGGTATTGTTGAGATCAGAGTCATTTTCCATTTCCCCACAGATGGAGAAACTGAACCAAAAGACTCTGGTCTGYTCTAATTTCCAGGTACCAATTGGACAGGATTCACCCAGTTGGCTCCTGTCTCACTCAAAACCCTCTGCTTYTGCATTAGCTGTGCAGCACATTTCCCTCCCCATTTCCCTGGAAATATCTAAAATGTAGGTCATTTCTCAGACCCCAGGTTTGGATATGTACCCTCACTGCATTCCCCCAGTGCCTGTGGGGAGATGTCCCTGGCATGGCCTTCACCTCTCATTTATGAACACCTTCCATGAGGTAAAACATGAGCTGGGAGGAGCTACAGATTCCCAGTATAAAGAAATGGGAACGGGCAGTAAGGAATGTGCCATCTTGGCAGCCTAGATGCACCTTGGAGACCACGGCCAGATGGTCAACCTTGACCTCACAGAACCACAGAATTATAGAATTATAGAATCATAGAACAGTTTGGGTTGGAATGGACCTCGAAAATCATCCTGTTCCAAGCCCCTGTCAAGGGCAGGAACACTTTCCACTAGACCAGGTTGCTCAAAGCCCCTTTCAACCTGAGTTTGAATGTTTCCAGGGATGGGGTATCCACAGCTCCTCTGGGCATCTTGTGCCAGTCCTCACCACCCTCGCAGTAAAGAATTTCTTCCTTATATCTAATCTAAACCTACTCTCTTCCAATTTGAAGCCATTCCTGCTTGTCCTAACACTACATGCCCTGGTAAAAAGTCCCTCTCCAGTTCTCTCGTAGCCCCTTTAGGCACTGGAACGTGCTATAATGTCTCCCTGGAGCTTTCTCTCCTCCAGGCTGAACAGGCCCATCTCTCTCAGACAGCAGTGTGCTTCAGCCCTCTGAGCATCTTTATCATCCTCTAATTCCCTGTAACATGGCCCGACAGGTCTTCCTGGCCTGACCAATGAAGTGCTGCCATTCCCTCTGGGAATAACATTTAAATCTCCTGAAACTGGGACAGAACCAGTATTTCTGGGGCTGCATTGCCTGCCCCATGCAGAGCTCACCCCCAAGTGACGGCCACAGCTCCTGAAGAAAGCAGCTCAGAGGGAGTCATGGCTGCCAAGTAGCTCACATTTACCAGCAAATACAGGCATGTAACCAAAGGAATGGCAATCATCAGAGCTCTGGGAAGGGTCACCTAGAAAATGGATGACAGCAGTGTTAGGTGCAGCACATTTATGCCTGCACTGTGCTTTTTTTGTTTGTTTTGGTTTTGCCACCACCCACATCTCTCATTCAAATTCCTCTGCTCCCTAAGTTTTTCCTCAGAACAAGACATAGATCCCAATTCACATGGCAGTTTTCACACCAATCTCCCAAAAATGTCAGGCAAACAGTAAGGTTGTACAGCTCCAAAGTCAGTCTAAAAAAAACCCCACAACTAGTGAAACAATATAGATCAAACAAAAAGAACCCACCAACTCTTACTTAAAAGATTTTGTTTTTTAGCTGCCCAAGATGTCTTTTTCATATTTCTTTATTATTTTAACATTGATTTATTCATTACTAGTGTGTTATGTCTCATAATGTGCTGATCTTCCCTTTAACATCTCACTGCCATGGACAAAGTTCCAGTGTGTGTTGCATCACATTTAATTCYTCTGCAGTTGAATCAAAGCAGGGATTTTATCTCAAAATCTCAAAGGGGATTTGCCCTAGGAAGGAACTATTTCCTCTTTCTTTGTGGCAGGATTGTGTCTTAGAATACCACAGGATCATTTTAAGACTCAATAAAATCAACAGTGTCTCATGCAACTGAAAATACTGGGAAGTGGCAACTGTATGCATCTAAGAACCTGCAATATCAATTTTTGCATTCCCCATTCTCAACACAGGACAAGATACAGCATTTCCTACTGTTRTTGTCTCCACTCTGAAAGGGTCTGAATTTCAGTGTTCATGATCCTGAGGAAGAGAATGGCCCTGGGATCATTGCTGCCATTTAGGTTAATATTTTACTGTGTATTTTCATTTAATCTGTAGGATCTTGTGTGCTACACTGGTAGAAAACACTCCATAAACTCTGCACTCACACAACTCTTGTAAAATAAGAGTTGCTCACTGCTGCAGCATTTGATTTGTGAAAAAAAGGTAATGTGGCACAGAGAAAACTGATATGAAATGCAGGTGAGCTATTTCAATGCCTATAGCATGAATTGCACAATGCTAAAATGTAGATGTTTAAAGACAGGGATCATTCAGAGTTAGATTCCCTTTCCAGTGAGGCTTGGCTAGCCCTGAAGTTGACCTTCCATGCAAGGGAGAGATAGAGTGGTTTTCTGATGCACAGATTATGGATCAAATCTTTTAGGGAATATGAGGTGTTTAGAATCCTTTATGGATTATAGTGGTGAGTGTTTTTCTGAATAMATCTAGATGTCTACAGCAATATCCTCTAAACATTAAGACAAAACTTCATCCCCAAAGCATCCAAGTGCTGCCTAATATTTTTTTTCCAGTCAATGGGGTATTTTAGGATTTCCATAGWATCACAGGATGGTTTGGATTCAAAGAGACCTTAAAGTTCTAATCTCCATGCCATGAGCAAGGATTCCTYCCACTACAGTAGGTTGCTCAAAGCCYCACACAAGCTGGTCTTGGACAYTTCCAGGGATGGGGGATCCATAACTTCTCTTGTGTCAGTATCTCATCACCTYCMCTGTAAATCCCTTGATTACYACTCTTAACACAATCGCAGAYAGAATCAAACATATTAACAGCAGGATTAAGTAAGTAAAACTCAGCTTGCTCATTCACTCACTCACTGACACACTCACCTCAGGTTTCTTGAGTTCCTCAGTTACATAATTTAGGTTGTTCCATCCATCATAGGACCAGAGTCCCTGGTAAAACGCCACTCCAACTGCCCCAATRCCTGCAGTCGTCCCTTGAAAACCATTCTGGAAACTCTGAGTTTGTCCCTTGGCAAGCAGCACCAACCCACCCACCACGATCACCAGCAAAGCCAAGAGTTTGGCAGCTGTAAAAATGTTCATAACAGATGTCGCCAGCCTCACGTTGAGACAGTTGATGATGGTTAAAATCAGGATGCAGGCAGCAGCTGTACATTTGATGGCAACCTGCGGAGACGAGCATCCTGGGTAGAACGGCGCAGTGGCGTACTCAGCAAAGCTCAGACAGACAGCTGCCAAACCAGCTGGTCTCACCAGGATCACAGAAGTGTAGGCGAAAAGGAAAGCAGGAAAAGAACCAAAAATCCTCAAAATGTAAATATATTCTCCTCCAGACTCTTTAATTATTGTTCCAAGCTCAGCGTACGACAAGGCTCCAAACATGGCCAGGAGCCCACATGCTGCCCAGACCAGCAGGCTGCTGGCAGGGTTCCCCATGTGATGTAGCACCCACTCAGGGGACATAAAGATCCCCGAGCCTATCATGGTGCCTGCAATTAATGACACGCTGCTAATCAGGCCCACCTCCCGTTTCAGTCTTAACTTCTCCTTCCCTTTACTCAGATCTGTGGACAAATGAACTGGATCTGTTGTCTTCCTTTCCCTCATTGTGGAAATGTGAGGAGATGTTGTAAGGAGAGAATCTGAAAAAGGATTAAGGCATTTGAATAAGGACTACTTCAGGTTTTAAGGTTTAGTTAATGATTACAAAAGTCACACTGAACACTGCTGAGAAACATAAACTTATCTCCTGCGTTTTGCATTCTTTCACTACCCATCTTATCTTGGTAATTTATTATGCCAAGTTTGATTATCCCTGATTCTCACTGCAAGCAATGGTAATGGGTAGCACCCAGCACMACCTTAAGAATCACTCAGCACATTACTGGACTGTGATCCTGGTTATCTCTCCTTTAAATTATGCTTCAAATGGCATCTGAAATAAGGATCAGGTAAGCAAAGTCCTCATGCAAATCTGTAATTTATTCTTTGTTTAAAAGTCAATGTTCAAGCACCCGCTTCAGTGCTCAATCATATTTTCATTCTTCCCTGTAACATGATCAAACAAATAAGTCTGATGGCCAGCATGCTATGGCTTTGCTCAACAAGGAACATTTCCAGTGTCTTGATCAAAGAAATAGAAATGTTTTGCTAAAAACACTCCAGAGGCTCTTTTTCTGCACAGTAGTAGGGGGCAATATGGGCTTTCTTCAATTTTAGAAATTGCAGGGGGAGAGAGGYGTAAAGGCAACAATTACATTTTTCCAGGGCCTTTTTACCATTGTACCTAAGATGTGCACACTCTTACCAGGCCACAATCTTCAGAGCACTTTGCCACAGCTGATCATACACATATTTCAATGCACACATGAGAGAAACACAGCACAAGCTTTTGAAGATACCTCTGACCCTTACTTAGATATGTAACACATAAAATTCCAGACAATGACGCAAGTTCTGGTATAAATATCACTATTGTTACAGTGCATAAGGGTGTATTTTCTGATCTGTGATGTGTATGAAATATTGAGCAGAAGCGAATTTCCACACGAACTCTTTTGAACATGAGCTAAACTGCATGGGAGAGTTACTGTCATTGGAGGTCTCTTGCAATCTTCTGTTGTGATGAGTACCAGAAGTGAGACCTTTCTCTGCCCTTGATGGCAAACACAGACCTTGAATCTTTAAAAATATCTGCCCTCCTCAAACATTTGAGCTAAAAAAAGTGTGACTATAAACGGAGCAGTATTTTTATTGTCTAAAAATTCCTTCTAAATTGTTTGGATTTCTCTTTCTTTGCCTTTATG